GGGTTTAATTTTAGCCTGTGGAAAAAGCTGTCCATTTTTTATAAATAATTACAAGTCACAAGAGTTTTAGTAGGGTGATATTTGAACTAACACAGAGTAGAAAAGTAGAATTTTAATGTTTTTAGAATAGAGTTCAAAGAGGTACAAGATAGAAGAATTTAAGCATGTCTTAACTTTCTTTCCTTCTGTCTTGTCCTCCATGTCATATTGTATTAGTGACACTTTTCTATTAGTATAGAATAAGGACACACTGTCCAACATAAATGTTAGATATTAGTACATTGTTATAAACAGATGATACTTAACTTTTAATATAAAAAATAAACACCACCCAAAAGAACACAGCAAAATACTATAGTATACTTACTAAACAAAACAAGTAAAAGAAAAATATTTAAATAAAAAGAAATAAACCACCTTAAAAACACAATCAAAAACATTCCAAACTCCTTCTTTAACTAATCAAGCTAGAGAACAAAGACTTTCATAATCTCAAAAAATCTTTTCAATCTCTTAGACTCACCCTAACCTTCTGAACCCCCCAAAAAATCAACAGTTCCTGGTAACAGAACTGTTCCCATGTACAGGATTAGATGGGAAGGATGATCTGCTGGTGGAACGTGCTGCCCATCAAGGCTGAGTGGAAATTGAGATATTTCCATGGAGAACCTCCACAGTCTCTCTCCAAGGCTTCTAACACAGATTTTTCAGCTCTTTCCTTTTTCCCTGGTCCTTCTATCCCAAGACCTGGCTCTGGCCGATTTTGATGCTCCTGGTGCTGGGAGCAGAGTCACCAAACCCGCACATGGTACACATGGGGACAAATTCCCCACATCTGTTCAGAATTAGGACTCCCACTATTCATTTTTCCAGTTCAGAGGACATCTTAAGAGCCTCCAAAAGCTCCCCAAAAGCTGCATAAGCACTAATTATTGCTTTCTCTGCAGAGTTCATCTGAGTTTGGAGAGAGCACCTCTTCAAACCCATAAAAACATCAGATAAGAGGGGGATGCACCAGAGCATCCCATGGAACTGGGATGGGGGAAAGGCAGTGCAACAGGTAGGGAGAAGCCCTGGGCTCTCCAAGCAGGTGAGGGCAGAGTTTCCAGTCCCTTCCCTGCCCATGGAAGGAAATGATCTTTAAGGGCCCTTCCCACCCAAACCATTCCAATATTCTCTGGTTCTCTGATTCATTCCCAGCTGAGCTTCCATTTCAGAAGTTGGCCTAAGGGCTCCTTATCTAACTCCTGCCAGGGTGATGTTGGTGGTTATACTCTTAAAAACAAACATTCCTCCTTCTTTAAGGAGCCTGGCTTATCTTTTGTTCTTCATGGTAAAGCACCTCCCATGGCCAGACCTCAAACAAACGAGACCCTAAAAAATTACGAGTAGTAAACCTTAATTAGAGCCCACCAGTGCAGGCTGGGAACACAAGAACCTTCTTTAGGCAGTGTTTTCACAGAATCACAGAATTCACAGAGTCACTGGGTTGGAAGAGACCTTCCAGACCATCGAGTCCAGCCCAGCCCAGCCCCTCAACTCAACCCTGGCACCCAGTGCCACATCCAGGCTTGTTTTAAACACACCCAGGGATGGGGACTCCACCACCTCCCCGGGCAGCCATTCCAGAACTTTATCACTCTTGCCATGAAAAACTTTTTCCCTAAAAGGGAGACAGAAAACCTTCCCCCCCATTCCAGAGGTCTGAGGTTTTATGCTCCAAGCAGTGCGACCAGCCCGAGGGGCAGACCCCTGAACTCCCCCACTCCCACACTCCCCAAGCAATTCCTGAAAGCCCCACATTTATCAGAGATCAGAGGGGGCTGGAAATCCAAGCTCCTTTGTTTAGTCTTGGGGAATGCGCGGCAGGAAAACATCGCCATCCTGTTTTCCAGGCGCTAGCACGCAAATAAGGATGGAGGAAAAACACGGCAGCGTCTCGGACAGGTGGTGATTAATGCTCATTGTGTCCCCTGCTGAACAGGTGCCAGGGCTGCTGCTGGCCAGGCCGTGTCCCCCCACTGCCCCAGCCCGGGGGGCACCTGCTGGGCTGAGTGGGGACAGGGGGGATGCTCCAAAATCCTGGGGTGGAAACGCCCATGGAGATAAAAGGTGCAAAAGAGCCGCTGGCACAGGGGAGTGGGAGAGGGACAGAGCCAGGGAGCAGCTCCTCATGCTCCTCCCCATGTGGCCTGACTCACCTGCCCTGGCCTGTCGCTGTCCCCTCACCACTCCTGGCTAGCTCAGCCTGGGAATGGCCAGCTCGCTTTGCTTCCCTCCTCCTGGGACTATCCTGGTGTGGAAATATCCCCGAGGTAGCAGGACTGAGGCTGCAGGGCTGAGAAGCTGCACAAAGCTGTGGTGGTGAGTCAGGGGCAGCGCAGGGACAGCACCCCCAGGCTGTGACCCCAGGACCTGTTCCTGCTCGGTGCCAGCTGGGTCACAGTGGCAGTGAAGGGACTGACAGTGGGCTAAAAGCTTCCTCCTAAGGCAGGGCAAAGCCTTGAGAACTCTGCAGCTCTACGTGCTGGTTCTGTGCATCTTTTGCAGCAAAACCCCACACCTGAGAGGTGGAAGGGGTGAGCAGGGACACTGGGACAAGGCTGAAGTGTCCCTGCCCTTGGATCACAGTCTCGGGGCTCTACTCAGCACAGACATCTGGCCACAAACTTGCCATGATGTTCTCCATCTTCCAGAGGAGCAAATCAGTGAGGATTAGTTCTGATGTGGCCCTGCACCTCTTTGGTCTCTGCCCCAGCTCATCTCTGCTCATTTTGGCCTTCAGGGACTTTGGGGAGTGATGGCATTTGAGCCATGACTGTTCAGTGAGGCCCCAGCCTTGTCCAGGGGTCTCTGGGTCCTACCACAATATCAGTGATTAACAGCCTCATTAATAATGATGATAATGGGGGTGTGAATGGCTTTATTCATGTAAAGCCAGTTCTGGGCTATCTGCATCAACCAGGAGCTGTGGCTGCCAAAGCTGGGTGGGTGCGGGCAGGGCAGGATGCACCAGAGGGACCAGGGCTGGTGTTTCTGTGCTGATGCAGATCTCTGTGCTCTGAGCCTCCTGAGAGTTCCAGGATTTAAACAGTGAAGAAAATGGAACATAAGTTTCAAATGTGTTCACATCCCACAGAGGTCAAAGCCTCAGGTGTGGGCTCTTAATTGACCTTCCCTGTGCCACCAGCACAGCTTTGGTGGGAATGGGACACCCCAAATCTTCCCAAACTCTCCCCTCCTTCATGCAGTACAAGTTGTTCTGTGAGGTGGGAAGAGGCAGCCTGGAAATGGGGACAATCCTGCTTCTCTTGCTGGACAGGGCGGGTGATCCTAAATCTGACACAAATCAGGGTGGGATTCTGGGGCTGTCCTGTGCAGGGCCAAGAGCTGGACCTGTATGATATTTGTGGGTCCCTTCAGGGAGCTCTGAAGGTTCTACTACATACCATTCTGTTCTGTTCCATTAAATTCCATTCCATTCTTTTCTGTTCCGACCCATTCCATTCCATTCCATTCCATTCCATTCCATTCCATTCCATTCCATTCCATTCCATTCCATTCCATTCCATTCCATCCCATCCCATCCAGTCCCGTTCCGTTCCGTCCCGTCCCATCCCATCCCATGGCCTCCCTAGAGCAAAGTCTTTCAGGAAAAGCACAAACGTGGAAGTGAGCTGTTCATTCTGTGTGCTGGGGTACCCCGCCAGGTCACAGCCAGGGACAGACCCCCCGTGCCTCAGGCTGTAGGAAGAGGCTCCATGTGGGACAGCCGGGACCGACGGCTTTGGTGTGGGAATCACCAAGTGCCATTCCGAGGCTGCGCTCCTTGGGAAGGTCAGATGACATAATTACAGTGGTGCCTCCTGACCTTGCAATCTCCAAACCCTCATAATTTGTAATCAGGATACAAATTATTTGCCTTGTGAGCTGAGGAAGGAAGTCTTCTGCATCACCTATCTGCTCCCAAACATCCGCTATCGCACAACTGCTCCGGGCAAGGGCAGGGCTTTCACTGCAATCTCCAGCTCAGCTGCAGCCTCCAGGAGCTTCGGCCAGCCTGGCTTCTCCAGTCCATCCTGGCTGCTCCAGTCCATCCTGGCTGCTCCTGTCCATCCTGGCTGTCCCAATCCATCCTGGCTGTTCCAATCCATCCTGCCCCAGTCCATCCTGGCTGCTTCAGTCCATCCTGCTGCTCCTGTCCATCCTGGCTGTTCCAATCCACCCTGGCTGTTCCAATCCATCCTGCCCCAGTCCATCCTGGCTGTTCGAGTCCATCCTGACTTCTCCAGTTCATTCTGGCTGTCCCAGTCCATCCTTGCTGCTCCAATCCATCCTGGCTGCCCCAGTCCATCCTGGCAGACCCCACCACGCTCTCAACGATGACTATAAACATTCCATTTTGGGAGGAAATCCCTGTTGTGTAGGTACCAAAATACCAATCGTGTTGGCTCCTCCTGGGTTAAGCACAGTTGAGGAGACTCCAGATTTAGCCAGAACATTTCTGTAAAATCAACAACTTCATTTTCCAAATTAAGTTTTTCCCACAGAGAGTAAGTTCACATCTACTTAAAGTGGAGCAAAGGCTGTGACCACCATGGGATGGCCACTGTCACCTGCCCTGTGTGTGCACAAACTCAGGGCACATGGCCATGTTTCAGAACGTGTCTGACGCATCCATCGCTCCAAAACTGCTGCATCCCAAAATGCTCCGAAGCACCATGGCTGTGCTACATCCCAGAGCAGCTGTGGCTGCCCCTGGATCCCTGGCAGTGCCCAAGGCCAGGCTGGACACTGGGGCTGGGAGCACCTGGGACAGTGGGAGGTGACCCTGCCATGGCAGGGCTGGGATGGAATGAGCTTTAGGGTCCCTCCCAACCCAAACCATTCCGTGCTCTGTGATTCCGTGATCCCAGTGCACAACCCTGTTCCAGCCAGTGCTGTGCTGTCACAATGAAGACATCTTTGTCCCCTGTGGAATGTGTGACACCCTCACCAGCACCACCCCTCGGTGCTCATTGAGGAGCTCACCACAGCTGAGCTCACCCTGGATGCAGACTCATCATCTGTCCTTTGTAAAATGAAGGTATCTGGGGAAACAGGGTCTTTGCCACATCCTGAGATATGCTTTTAATTTTATTTATCCTATATATTCCCAGAAATTGGATTTTAAATCACCCTGATAACAACCTGGCAGAGGGAGAAAACACAAGTTCTGTCCTTGGCTCTCTGCTGGGCAGTGTGAGGAGGCAGAAGGGTTTCAGTGAGGGAAGCAATTGGGATTTCATCTCTGAGCAGAGTGGAGCAGACAGGCCAGCACAGGGCAGGAGCTGCAGTGCCCTGTGGTGTCCCCAGGACAGGATTAAAGGAGGCCTTTGCAGAGCTCAGCTCTGACTGAGCTCCTGTCCCCTTCCCTTGGCAGGCAGTGCCAAGAGGGGCATCTCCAGGGGACCAGTGACCCCACGGCCACGTCTGGAGCTGGGGTCAAGCTGTGAACCTGCTCTTCCAGCGCCTCTCCATGTCCAGAGCTTCTCCTCCAGGCCAGCCCTGAGCCACGAGTGGCCCCAGTGATCTGACCCCAGGGAGCTGTTCCTGGAGGGGTTAAATGCACCGTTTCCTCACAGCGCAGTGCATGTGCTGCTGGAGGAAATGCACTTCTCCAGCCTTGACTCGGTGCCCTTTGTGGAGAGCATCAATCTCTGGGACCCTGGGGAGCACGAGCAGGGACGGCAGCGTTAGTCAGCAGCGCTCCTGGGGGCACTTCCAGCAGGAACCAGCACGGAAAATGCACTGTACAAAATATTTGTGCAGAGCAGGAAAACGCTGCATTCCTGGGATGACAATGGCCTTGTGTCACCGTCTGTGGCCACCGCCGTGACTCAGGCTGCGTCTGGGGAGGGACAGCAGGGTGAGCTGAGCGGGCAGCGCTCCTGCCAGCCAGGGCTGTGCTGCTGACTGTGCCAGGGCTCAGAGCTCCAAAGACAACACTGGGCTATTGTTGGAATTGGCTTTTTTTCCAAAGGGTTGATAGGCTGGCAGAGGGAATGCTCCTCCTGGGCCGTGTGTACAAGGCATGAGCACAGAGCTTGCATCCCGGCAGGGATGGGCACGCTCCAGCCTCAGTGTGTGGGGCAGCTGGGGGCATTGCACCACTGCTTCCCAAAGCCCTGATCCCGGGAATCTGCAGTGTGTGCCCCGCAGCGTTATCAGACCTGAATTCAGGAGCTGCAAAAGCAGATTCCACCCAAGCCTGGAAAGGTGGAAAGTCCCTGCACATCCTTTCCCACTTCCCAGCCTGTGGAAGGTGCTGATGTGTGTGGGTCCTGCAGACCCCTGACTGAGCAGGGCTGGCTGTGCTGCACCCGGCCAGGCTTAGCAAGGCTGAGCTCAGGCTCTGCTGCAAAACCCTGGGTGGCCTTCAGGATGGCAAAGATCCCGCTGGGAGAGGGCAGCTCTGACCCCTCTCCATGATTCTCAGTGGATGGGATAGGATAGGATGGGATGGGATGGGATGGGATGGGATGGGATGGGATGGGATGGGATGGGATGGGATGGCATGGGATGGGATGGGATGGGATGGGATGGGATGGCATGGGATGGGATGGATGGGATGGGATGGGATGGGATGGGATGGGATGGATGGGATGGGATGGGATGGATGGGATGGGATGGATGGGATGGGATTGGGATGGGATGGGATGGGATGGGATGGGATGGGATGGGATGGGATGGGATGGGATGGGATGGGATGGGATGGGATGGGATGGGATGGGATGGGATGGGATGGGATGGGATGGCATGGGATGGGATGGGATGGATGGGATGGGATGGATGGGATGGGATGGGATGGGATGGGATGGGATGGGATGGGATGGGATGGGATGGGATGGGATGGGATGGCATGGCATGGCATGGCATGGCATGGCATGGGATGGCATGGCATGGGATGGCATGGGATGGGATGGCATGGGATGGGATGGGATGGGATGGGATGGGATGGGATGGGATGGGATGGGATGGGATGGGATGGGATGGGATGGGATGGGATGGGATGGGATGGGATGGGATGGGATGGGATGGCAGCTCAGCCAGCCTTGGCTCCATCAGGAGTCTGATGTTCACACCTGGCTGTTCTCCCTTGTGGTGGCCAACAGAGAAATCTCTATGAACTCCTAAAAATAGCAAGTCTTAGCAGAGAGGGCAGCAAACACTGCAGGAAAAGCAGCTAATTGAGGAAAAAATATCAGAATCTGCATATTTTACAACTGCTCACTGTCTGCTGGACTCTGAAGGACCAGCACCCTTTAGAGCTGGGTCTCTTTCTAGCACTTTCTCCACTCTATACACTTAGCTCTTATCAATTCCTTGGACTTGCAGTACAGTGTGGAGCCCTAGGTGAAGCAATGCCCGGGGGACAGCAGGCTGCCCAGTGCCACCAGGAAATCATGATGGGTGGCAAGATGGGGACAGGAAATGTGGCACCTGCTGAGAGGGGACAGATTGAGCATGGCAGGACAGAGGTGGCTGCGTGTGAGCCTTGGCTGGTCGCTGTGACTGCTCCATGAGCTCCTGTCCCAGCTCTGGGGAGGCCACAGCTGACAGGGACGCAGACAGGAGACCCCTCTGCTCCAGGGGAATTCCTGGGGGATTAAACCCTGCTTTGTCCTGTCTCAAGGCCCAGCTCTGAGCTCAGTGGCAGCTTGTGCTGACCATCACAGTGCAGTGATGCTAAAAAACGTGCAAACCTCTCCTGGCACCAAGCCACAGCAGCAGTTTCTTCATTGCCTTCTGTTGGGGAGAGCAATGGGAAAACAATTTTCCTGACTTGCCTTATTTTGGTATGAACGGGGTGTTAGTGTGCTGCTCTGGGAACAGCTGGAAGGAGAGGGTGTGGATGGAGCAGGATTGGGCACTGGAGGAAAACATCTTTCTCCTTCCCTTCCTTCCTTTTTTTCCTTCACTGACAGCTCCTTCCCCCTGTCTGTCAGGCAGGAAATTTAAGAAACCTTTGAAAGGCTGTGGAGCATTAACTTAGAGAGTCCAGGGCACAAAGAAAAAAGATCCTCACCCATCTCTACTGCTGGGACAAACCTCTTAGTCCTCATCTTAGTGTTGTGCAAAGCAGAGGAGGAGGAACAAGACGTTCTGTCAGCCTGGAAGAGGCAGGAAGACACTTCTCCTGTGCCCTGCCAGGACCTGGATGCCATGTCCAGGGAAATACGTGTGTTCCCTGCACTTCCTGGCACTGGCACTGCCGGGCGCGCTGGCCTTTGCTCCCGGCCAAGGACAGCGCTGCGGGCACAGCTCCCATCTCCCCTTAGCTGCAAAGCTGGGCAGGAAAGCAGCCCTGCACACCTCGAGGGGAGCCCAGGGCAAACACACAGCCCCACACGCCTTCAGCAGAGCATGGCCCACCAGGCATTGCTTGGGAAACTCACCCAAAGCCTGGGAATGGCCCTGGGAGCGGGGTCAGCCAGGGCAGGGCACCACTGCCAGCGCGTGTGGTGCCCAGGGTGCTCCAGTGTGAAACTGGAACCCCTCAACACGGGGGCGATCTTGCACAGGACAAAAGTAAAAACTGTCAGGGTTGGCTCTTCAGGACCCCAACAGGTCCCGTGCCGCCAAAGAAGGAGACTGGAATGTGTCCGATGGTGTATTCAAGGTTGTTTATTTTTCCTTACCTATAACATTCTCTCTCTGACCTGCCGAGGTCTGTCCAGAAATGAAACCATGGCAATCTGCTGTGAGCCTTGGGCAGCTCCCACATTATATACTCAAAACTACGTGTAGTATGTTCACAATTTATTACCAATTCCCATCACCTGTGTCAGACTGTGAACCTCTACCTCAAACCAACATAAAAGTGTCACTATCAAACCAAGACATAGAGGACAAGAAGAATGAGAAGAAGGCCAGAACATGCACAAATTGCTCCCTCTTGAACTCCTGAATTATATTCTAACCAAAATTCTACTTTTTCACCCTATGTTAATTCAAATATCACACCACTCAAACCCTTGTGGTTTGTAATTCTTTATACAAAATTGACAGCTTTTTCAACAGGCTAAAATCAAAGCCACAGGTGTTTTTGACTTCATGCCAAGGACTCTGAGCCCCCTGCTGGGGTCTGGGGACAGCCAGGGCAGCCAGAGGGATGTGCTGGGCTCTGACAAAAGATGAAAGGCGCTCTTCTCCTCGGGACTAAAATCCTGTTTATTCAGGAGCCACCTCGGATCCAGGTGACCCCTCAGGGGGTAACAGAGGCTGAGGCATCTGGTGGTGTTCAGAAGAGAAAAAAGAGCCCAAAGGTGTTTTCCAGGGCAGTTTTGTGCCCAGGAAAATGGGGGGGGGGGGGGGGGAAGGGGGTTGATGGGCAGAGCTGAGAGGCCACATCCATTGGGATACAGGTGAGGAGAGGGAGAGGGGAGGGGCAGACTGGGGAGAGACCAGACCACCACACCTGAGGCTTAGAGGGGAGAGGGGGGACCATGTGATACCAAACACCCAGCGCAAAACAACAACAAAATAAGCTTTTTAGTGCAATACAACACTCCAGGTGCTCACACATCCCATTCCAACCCACTTTCCCACACTCAGAGGGACTTTTTGCTTTCCTGTTGTACCCCAACACCTGCACCTACAGCTCCCTGCCCACAGGGATGAGGACAAGTTTTCCTTTTAGAGCCTCAAGTTCATGACCTGCTGTCAGGTTGAGGTCTGCTAGAAGTACCTCTCCCCTTACCCTCAGAAGGACCTTCAGGATCAAGGGGTTTGTGCTAACTCAGTCTGCTTCTTCAGAGAAAATTAGATGGAGAATATTTGCAGCAGAAGGTGTCAGTGAAATCTGTAAAGGAAAGAAAGGAGGCTGAGGTTAGACCAGGAGTGCTGGAGTGCGTGGAGGTGCAATCACACAGAACTTCAGAGCAGCTCACAACCAGCCAGGCAAAATCTTTGGAAAGCAGTCAGGAGCTCATCACTCATCCAGCTAAATGAAAAATGACACATTCAGGATTGTGCCCATGACTTCTGTTAATGCAGATTTGTCTCTTCCTCATACCCATCTTCATTTTGCTGTGGATTTCCACTCTGAGCTCACCCCAGATTTCAAACAGAGCTCTTCAAAAACCACAAGTGATTTATTCCTGGTTGTTTAACACAGGAAAGCGGGGGCCAGGTGTATCCTGAGAAGCGCAGGCAGAGAGATTCCAGAGCTTGACAAACCTTCAGTCTGAAGAAAAATTAGGGGAAATGCCCAGGTTTGCACACATTAATGATTGCCCCTGCAAAACCTGGAATTTGCTCTGGTTCAGCACTGGCACGGGCAGGGCTGAGGGCTGGGCTGGAGCTGCTGAGGGGCGCTTTGGGCATCTCTGAGTCAGAGAATGCTGTGGTAGGGTTTTTCTTGGTCCAGGGCATCCATGGCAGTGCCTGGCTTCTCGTGCAGCCACAAACCCCTCGGGGTCATTCACCTGTCTGCCCAGGACTGCTGCTCCAGGGAGCTTCTGCTTCAGCCCTTGTGAGTCTCCCTTTTGCTCTGCTCCACAGGCAGCAGCAAGCACATTCCTCTGGGAGCCCAGGCATGGGAAGAGCAGCACAGCTTGGCTCTGCAGGCGCCTTCAGGATCTGAATTCCTGCCTCTTTCCCCGTGCCCCTTTTTACTCCCAGCCTCAGAGACAGGCATTGCCTCCACTGAAGAATCTCTGTGGCTTCTCTGGGGTCTCTGACTCTCCTACAGACCCCAAGACTGCAGATATTGAAACCATCACCCCCACCCAGCCTGCAGTCAATGACTGTGCACTTCATCCAGTTTGGGCTATGCCAGGAGATGCTGTTGGAAGTTTTTCCTCTACTTTTTCTCTTGGCATGAGGCTGCAGGGCAGAAGAGCCAGCAGAAGGTCAGACAGACCCGAAGTGCCCAGGAGAGAAAGGGAGAGTGCAGCTGTGCTGAGCTCTGGGCTCCTTTAACCTCGCCACGATTACAAAGGAAATAAAAGTGCTCTGCAAATCTTCTGTTGAAGTGGTGAGGCCCTGAAAGAGGGAAACTGTGGCTGCTCCTTCCCTGGCAGTGTCCCAGGCCAGGGTGGATGGGGCTTGGAGCTACCTGGGAGAGTGGAAGGTCCCTGGGGGTGGAACAAGATGAGCTCTGAGGTCCCTCCCAACCCAACCCATTCCATGAGTCTGTGATTTTAAGGCTCTGCATGGAAGCTCTGTCCCAGAACCAGGGCAATTGTGGCAGAGAAACCAGGCTCCAGTTTGGAAATGTTTCCTGAGCAAGGCCACTACAATAAAATTTTATCGTGAGCAGGTGTTGAACCACCCCTGGATGGGCCCTGCACTGTGCCCAGGGGCTGGGGAAGCACTCCAGGGTGGGATGTGTGCCATGCCTGCTGCAGGGAGGCACAGGGCACCACTGGTAGGAGACAGCTGGACAAAAATCCCAGATTTGGGGACCCTCTGCAGCCCCAGAGCCCCAGGATCAGTGGTGAAGCACTGGGGGGCTCTGGGGCACATCCCACTGCCTTTGCCCTGGGACACCAATGAACAGGGCAGGGGTTTCCACGGGGGAGAATCCCACAGATGATAAATTTTTTCATTTATCCATTGCAACCCATCCCCAGCCTCATGGGAAAGCACATCCTCCTCCTCCAGGCCAGCCTGAGGATGAATTCTCCAGTCTCACCCTGGCCTGAGCCCTCTCCTCGTGCTCCTGGTGGGACTGAGTGTGCTCAGGCCATGTGGCTCTGTCACTCTGGGCAGCTCCCACACAGGGCTGCTCTCCCTGCCTTGCTCTCCCTATGGATTGAGGGGCCTGACCACACAAACACCCATTTCTGCTCCTTCACAGACACTCCCTCCCACTTTTCACGTCCTGGGCACCACAGCCAGTTCCTGGCTGAGCTGTGGGATCTTTGCTTGCTGACCCTGCACAGGGGCTTTGGCTCCCTTTCCCTCCCATCTCTGTGCTCACCCTGAGATTTCCTACCTGAGGAGGCTCTGTGCAGCCCCCAAAGGAGCAATGTGGGTTCCATCCAATTCCTTTGGAGCATCAGCAAGCTGGCTGTACTCCCTCAGAGTACAGAACCAGAGGTGGAGGGAAGTGCTTTGGCCAAACCCCACTACTTCATTCTTTAATTATTTGTTTTATTTTATCTCCCAGGTTTAATTAGAGTGGTTTGTCTGGAAAATTTGGCTTTCTGCGATAAAAGACCTCTCTAATGGGAGAGACCATAATCACGTTTGAAAAACCTCCTGAACCAAAGTGGATGCTGATCTGTGAGTTACCATATGAGTCTTCCTATGCCAGTGTGTTCATGCATATAAATCTGTTTACTAAACAGTTTTAACCTGCTCTAAACACAGCCTGGAGTTATCTTATCTGTCCTGCTGAGGAAAACAAACAGATGCATTCTAACACCCAAACACTCCTGGATAAGGAGTTCCTTATCAGCCCTGCTTCCCCCACTGGCCCAGTTAAACCCTCATCCACTCATTCATTTCCCAGCTGTGGCTTTTTAGGAGCAACAACCAACATTTCCTATCAGCATGGTTTTGATCTTGGGAAGCTGCAATTCCCGATGGTTTGTTTGCTTTCTGCATCCTGCAAATGCATCCATCCCTTCAGCTTTGCCACTGCTTTCACACCTCCATTAATTAGCACCTCTTTTCCTACATTTATCTCCTGGATAACTCCTTCTAAACTTTCGGAGAGGGAAAAAAAAAAAAAAAAAAAAGAAAGAAATTATCCAAAGGCTGGCAGAAGTTTTGCTTTTATACGTTTCTTCAAGGAAGGAAATAAAAGGGATGAGGTTCTAGGACATCCCTGGTCTGAGCTCCCTGCTCCAAGCCTCATTTGTGAGAAAGCTAAAATTCCCTGACTTTTCGGAGAAGTGCCTGTGCTGTTCTCTGCCTGCTCCAGGTGAAAGGAGGGGTGTGGGAATCCAGAGCTTCCCTCTGGCTGCCCTGGCAGGTCTGGGACCCTGGCAGAGCTCAGGAACCCCCCTGGACAGAGCCCCCAGAGACACTGGCTGTGATCTCTGTCCATGGAAAAGAGTTTTCAATCTTACAGGATGAATTACAAGCTCTGAGTGTTTGATATAAGGAATAATTAAGTGTGGCACAGGTACAAAAGTAAAATTTTAGGATTCTAGATGAGGGGTCCAAAGGGGACAAGATGGAGGAAATTGGGTGTGTCTTGTCCTTTTTCTCCTTCTTCATGCCCTCCATGTTTCACTGTGGTGTTGGCATTTTTCTGTTGGTTCAGGCTGGGGACACACTGTCCAACGTAGGTGACAGATATTGGCACGTTATTGTAAATCCAGCACAGGTAGTTTGTGGTATTTAATGTTTGTACCATCCCACTGAGGGCAGAGCCCCACACGCTGCCCTGCAGGACAGAGCTGCGGCAGGGCAGCAGAACATGTTAGAGATAAACAGAATAAACAACCTTGAAACCAGCACAGACGAATTATGGCTTCTGCTTTGGCAGCGGGGCAGACAGACAGAGACTTTCTACAACCTCGGGATGATTTAAATACCACAGATTCTGATACAGGGGCAGAAAAGAGAACCTGGGAGAAAGTCTGGAGGTCCACCCTGAGTGCTCAGTGACAGTGGGACACCACATCCAGTCCCTGGAGAGCTCATCCAGGCACAGGGGGCACCTTTCCCTGCATCCCTGAGCCCAGGGACACCAGCACAGGCATCTCCTGGTGTCTGGAACTGTCAGGAGCTTGGCAAGGACCTTCTGGGGACACCACAGAGTTGGGATCGGGCTCAACCTTTCCCTACCAGACCTTTTCCTGAGGCTCCCTCTTTCTCCAGCTGAATTCCCACCCTTCTCAGAGGGGCTCTGTAGATTTTCAAGGCTCAGCACACTCCGAA